ATATATATATATATATATATATATATATAACTGAAGTTAATAATAATCTACAAAAATAAATACATATAATTAATATATATTATTCACGTTGATTATAATTAAAAGTTTAAAATAGTTTGACTAAACTTTGACTAAAGTTAATCAAAGCGTGTTTTTGTGTGGACTAAAATCCAAAATCTCTTATTAACAATATAATTATTTGAGGCACCTCGAACAATATAAATATAATTAGTCAGATGCAAAATATATATATTTTGATACTTAACTTAATGATAATTTATATAAAAAAATTAAAAATTATATATTTAATGTCTATTATTATGTTGACAATGATTATATTTAGAAGAGTTTAAAATAATTTGAATAAATTTGATTTAAAATTAATCAAATCGTATTTCATATGAACCAATAAAAATTATGACACATATGAGCCACCTTGAGTAATGATTATAATAAATAAAAATTAAATTAAATATAAAGTTAAAATAATTTTTAAAAAATTTTCATTAAAAAAAATTCATAAAAATTCTCACGTATAAGATAATTATTCATATTTTATATTATTCCTAATATTTTAACATGTATGTTGTTTTTAAATATATAAATTATATTTTAAATTTATGATAAATAAATTTTAATATAAAAAATATTTTATTTATTGCTAATTTAATTTAAAATATTAATATTTAACTATAAATAATTATAAAAATAAAAATTAAATTAGATAAGAAGTTAAAAAAAAATTCTTACATATTCTCACGTTGAAAAAAAAAATCCATAAAATTTCTATCGCGCAAGATAAGGATTTTTATTTAATAGGTATGAATTTGATTATTTTTGTTATCATTTTATTATTATGACTACTACCGGTGGAACTAAAGCACTTCATGCCTCTATAACAATTGAGTACCACAACTTCTATAACTATTCACACTTGATCTGCAGAGTAATTATTTTAATCATTGATATTAGAAAATAGAATCTATTCATGCATATGTAATAATAAAGGATAGAAAGGGAAAAATAAAATGTGTACACTAGTACACTAGAGCTAGTTATCAAATTTATTTATTATAGATTTTTATTTTTTTTATTTTTTTTTATTGTTATTATTATTATTATTATTAGTAATAGTAGTAATAGTAAGGATGGAAACACATCATATCTCTGTATATTTTATTTAAATAAAAAATCAAATAACTAAAAATAAAAAATAAATGATAAATAATATATAAAAAAAATAGAACGTTATGACGAAAATGTAACTACTTATTATTACAAAGAAAAAATTATGATTGATTTGTTTCGGTGAGTGAAAAACAAAATTTAAATTTAAATTATTTTTGAAATTAAATAAATAAAATAATTCTAAGATATGACTATGATATTAATAAGTAAAATTGGTTATTAAAAAGTGAAAACTTAAATTTTGTATTTCTTTTATATATTTTTATAAATTATTGTTATTATTTGATATAGAAAATTATTAAATAATTTTTTAATTATATTAAATTTTATATACTTAATTTAATTAATAAAAATATTAAGTATAAGTATTGAATTAGTTAAATTTAGCGTCTAAAAAAATTATTGAAGATGTAATTAAAACATGGCAGACATGTAACTGTGTGAAACACGGAAGGATTGTGATGGAAGGTCAATGACGGACTCCTCTTGGAATCTTTGATTTCTAAAATTTAAAGTAAACAAATGAAACTTTTTCGAGTGACTCCTGCATTTTGAATCCTGTGCACTGCCATTTGATCAAATCGTTTTTTCTCACTTTATCTTTTTTCTTTTACCTTTTAGATTTCTCGTTTAAGAAAATCTTCAAAACTTTCATGATTGAAATTGAGTGTTGAGGACATCACTTCTATTAATAATATATATATAAAGGTTTAGGTATGTCGTAGGACTTTTAACACATAAGGTGGTTGATGCAGAAGTATCGGAGCAGGAGATATTAGGGTTTGTCTCACCAGTTTTTCATGGAGATGGAGATGTTCATGAGATTGTAAGGATGGAAATGTCATTGTAAAATTTACATAAAACACTTGGCTGACATGTAAAAAACATTTAAGACTGGAACAACCTTTTGCAATCAGTTACACTTCATGGTTCATGATAGACCGTATGCACCACTTGTACAGTTGTCTTTGCCTAAAATCCTTATACGTTTATTTTTATTTTTTTTATTATGTTTTTTTCTCCTATTATTTTCAATTTGTAAGTTTTGTTATTTCTTTTAATTATGTATTTTTAATCTTTTTAATTTTTAAAATTGTGTGATTTTACTTCTTTTTCATTTTAATTGATAATTGGTGATAATGTGACACTTTAATGTTGACATATATTGATGACATAACACCTTGATGGTGATGTAAATTAGTGATGTGATAATAAATAAATTATAAGACTAAGTATTAATGAATTGACATTCTTATAGTAATGTCACTTGATGACATAGGTATATGTGTAAAAAAAATAAAATATATTTGTTTTGCTTTTGCATAAGTATCCTAAAACTTCATCTTAAACTAATTTAGCTTGGAAGGAAGGTAAGTAAAGTTTAGTCAAAAATTAAATAATTTATATTATAATGTAATACTATTTTATTTATTTGATCATTCATTTTAAAATAGTAAATTTAATTCATAAATAACTATGAGAAATAAAAATTAAATTTTAATTTTTTTTTAAAATACTTTAATGTAAAATAATTGTTGATGTTTAATATATAAAAATCGATTAAAAGAATGATTATTAAATAGATATCATGCCAAAATATAATATTACTTACGGTAAAAAAATTATCCTAAAATATAACTAATATGCATTCTTGTAATTTTTTAACAGTTTATTTTTAATTTTGTCCCATTTTAATCAATCAGTTATCTAAGTAGGGGTGTA